TTCCATTCGTGTAGTCTCTTGGAACGCGGGACATCTGGGTCAACAGCAATGGGGAGAGCTAAAAACGTGGTTGGCAGCTGATGCCTCCAATCACTGCGATGTCCTTGTTCTGCAGGAAACACACTGGACGGAGACTAGTGAATTCAGCGTTTCAGGTTGGTATTGCATTTCTTCGGCCTCAGCTTCTGCCAAACGTAGTCCCCCGCAGAAGCAGAGTGCCAAGCGGAAGTCCAGACAGGATTCGAAAGAGGGACCATCCACGACACAGGCGGATGGAGTTATGATTCTGTTCTCGCCCAAGTTCGCAGCCAAGAGCCTTCGCTGGAAGGAGTGGAGCCCAGGCCGAGTCCTTGAGGCTCGCGCAGACATGGCAGGAACCAGACTGGTCATTGTTGCTGTATATCAACATGCTTGGTCCTCGGCCAAATCCGTACAGTCTAATAAAGATGACCGCGCACATGTCCTGTCAATCATGTCCAAGGTTGTCAAGCAGGTGCCCAAGCGGGACTCTCTCGTTATCGCAGGAGACTTTAACACTTCCCTGCGCTCGAGCCCTCCCTTGGTGGGAACACATGTGAAGCCGCCCACGGAGGACCGACCTGACGAATCCCACCTTTCCAACCTGCTGCTACCCTGAGTCTGCTGTTTACCTAATTTTACACTTTGGCTTGATTTACTGTAAACGAAGGATTTAGTGTAAAATGACCAAATTTACGTAAAATTTTTGGTGAGCTGAAAACATGACAAAACACATAAAAACAATATGCAAACACAAACATGGAACTCATATTTGCGGCTGCAAACTTAGACACCACATGTAAACCCAAGTCGTCCGGTTACCCAATATATGGGCAACCAGGTCAAGAACCAAGATGGTCAGTAACCGAAACAAATGTCCAGGAACCAATATGTCATTTTGGCTTGTTTGAGGTCTAGGTGGTTCCTGATGGCTTGTATTCATGAGTTCTTGCAAGCAACAGCTTAAAACAGTACGTGTTTGTATGGCTTTAGCAAGTAGATATCCTAATTACATACACGTTGGCCTGGAGTTGCCCTGGCAATGTACACTCTTGAGCTTCATTCGAGGCGAAGCTGCCAGTTTTCTGCTTTTGCAGGACTGATCAAGCTGGCATGTGTGTCTCATATTAGCAGTGGTTGCAAGTTGCATGAGAAGCAGATCCACCTGTCCTGTATGACGTTTGAGAAGTAGTCGTATATTACATAGCTGTAATACCTGTCCTGGCATCTGTGCTGGCATGCGCCGTGCCATCTTTCTGGGCAAGAAGCAGAGTGTTTGTGGTGCGACCCCGACCCGTGCTTGTAGATTGCTGTGTCATTGCAGTGCATTGCATCTTGACTGTGTTTGCAACTTGCAAGAGCTGTTAGGGGTCGTGTTGCAATCAAATGCAGACGAGGGCTTGCAGGCATTGGCACAGCTTTGCTTTAGCAGGCGTTGCAGCAGAGTTTTGAAGCCACCATGGCTTCTGTTGAGCCGGATCCCCATGATGGACCTCATTATCAGGAGGGAGATTCTGAGACTCATGGCTGCCTTAATTTAGCCCCAAAACCCAGCCCGCAAAGCCGAATCTTTTCTCCAGAAAGCCCAATATGGTCGCCAGCCAAGGGTCAAGTTCCTCGCGGGCCTGTTGCTTGAATGGCAAGCACAGCCCTACCCGGGGGACGAACATGAAAGAAGCCGTGGCCGAGTAGCTCGGGAAACCGAGGCAGCCCCCTAGGGGTTGTCGTGCTGTTGTTCGGCGCTGCTGGTGAACATATACAGTACTAGCTAGCTAGACTCATGATCAGGAGCACCCAATGATGGTCCACCACAGATTCATGTGCGACGAGGCCGTGGAGGATGTCTTCACTCCTTTGTCGCACATATTCTGTGTTCATGGCTGTAAGATTCCTGGGATTTCGAAATTCCGAGCAGCTGGGCTAGAAAACATGGTCGATTCCTGAAGGTGCACATCTCATCTCATGCATGTACAATAATTATCATATGGTAGCAGCTGGTAGCAAAGGATGCTTTCAAAATCGTCAACGACGAGATCGGCATATGGCCCAGCAAAACGAAGAAGAAAGTCGTCCAGGACCACTTTTCCTTTGCCATGCATGTGAACAGAGGTATATGTATTGCATGTTCATCTAGAACAATGCATGCAACTGCAGGAATGGATTGATCTCTGCGCCGGGTGTTTGCGAATGCGAGCCTGCTACGCGGTGCGGTTGTGGCGAAAAACTCCACATCGTTCCAGGATACATATATGTGTAGACGTGCCTGCCCTCACTTGTGCCGCTAGAACGTACCCACATAACACATCCCTGGCATGCACCTTTCCAGGAGCGGCAAGATACAGCTCCTCAAGGACTTGCTGACACATGTTTGCGGTGAGCCAGCCGGTGGAAGGACGCCTGCCAACACAGATGACGAAGGGGATGCAGCAACTCCAGCTGCTCCTTCGGCTGCGACTGACGCGGAGGAAGGTGCTGATGTGTCCACAGCGCCAGCCGAGCCGGCAGAAGAGCCGGAGCCGCCGCTGCATCCTGCAGTCATCTATACCGATAACATGGAGACGCAGATTGCTGTTGACATGATGGATGCTGCCTACGAAGAAGAGGAGGTAGCATTGTCGGATGCTACGACATTGGTGCTTGGTGGGCCCTACAGGGACCCGGTGCTCGATGGAGAGCCCTTGGATGACGCGCCGGATGGTGATGAGGTGCAGGATGCGCAGTCTTTCCACACATGCATGTGCAAACTAGTACGCAATCCGAGGTTGTGCTTGGAACATGTGCGTGTATAAGTCGTCCTGGTCAGGACTCCGGAGAAGCTGCTTCTGAGGCAGTTGAGGACAGAGATTTCGCCCGGGTACACAGGGTGGAGTAACATTGCCTTTTGTTAGGTTTTCGAGTTCAGGAGTTTGCAGAAGTGGCAGCTCGGGAGGTGTGTTTCTTTAGGAAAGGTGGGTTGAAATGTCTTGTGTGGCCAGGACTTTGATGCTGGTCTGTCCAACGACGAGCCAGTGAAGGACAGATGTTTGGGATGAGGCTCACGTTGCATGTTTTTTGTTCATTCTGAGCAGGATCTGGGTGAAGCTGGAGAACCCTCAGCAGAGACGCCGGAGGACAGAAGTGCCATTATAATGTTTCATCGATGAACAGCTAGCTAAGTCCTTTGCCGAGGATTCTGTTGAAGCTGGAGTGCCAGCACATGAGGTCCGAGCTCGTCGGTACATACAATAGACATAATACATATATACACATGTTTTGTCCCGATCAGGATCATGATGAAGCTGGAGCGCTAGCAGCACAGGCAGCAGAGGACGCCCTTTTCACAGAAGCTTGCTCGTGGGATTGATTTGCAGTGGCAGTCCGGTGAGGATCCGGGTGAACTTGGAGTCGTTGCAGCAGAGCCCACAGAGGACATTCGTTTCATAAGCCTTGTCTGGGAGTGTTGACACACATGCTGCTTTTTGCATTCCCGTGAGGATCCGGGTGAATCTATGTTGGTGGGAGCAGATCCAGCCGAGGACACTTGTTTCGTGAAGACTTCCTTCCCTAAACTGTGTTGCGCATTCCGGTGAGGATCTTCCTGACACTGCTGGAGTGGTTGCAGCAGAGACAGCAGAGGACGCTCAGGACATGTGTTGCCAGGAAAGGCTTGTTTGGCCTGTTCCGGTATATATATATATATATATATATATATCCATACACATGTACATAAAAAACTTACTAGCACTGCCCCGAGGATCTTCATGAAACTGGCCATGGAGTGGTTGCAGCAGAGCCAACGAAGGATGCATGTGTCATGAAGCCTTGTCTGGAGTGTTCCTAGATTTTGTTTTCGGGAATTCCGACAAGGAGCTTGGTGAAGCTGCATTGGTCGCAGCAGCAACTGAGGACACGTGTTTCAGTGAAGCCTTGTTGTGAATGTCCCTGTATGCATCCTTTCTATACCACGAGGATCCTGATGCAGCTGGAGTGGTTGAAGCACAGCCCACACAGGACACACCTGTCATGGAGCCTTGTTTGGATTCTTTACAAACCGTGGTCAGGAGGATTCGGGTGAAGCTGCAGTGGTTGCGGCGCAGGCAGCAGAGGACACATATCACACATGTTTCATGAAGACTAGCAGCAATAGTTGTATTGAAGGAAGGTGTATACTGCCTTGCATTCCTACAGGATCTTCGTGAAGCTGGAGTGGTTTCAGCAGAGCCCACAGAGGACGAAAGCTTCGTAAGGCATTGTTGGCAGTGTGCAAGGAAGTTGCTTTGTGTTGCGATGAGGAGCTGTGTGAAGCTGGTGTGGAGTCTGCAGAGCCAACAAAGGACACATGTTTCATGAAGGCTTGATTGGACACTTGCATTTGCATTGCGATGAGGATTTCTGTGAAGCTGCTGCGAAGTCATCAGAGCCAACAGAGGACACATCTTGTGTTCAAGTGCTCGCTTTCAGTAGCTGTGAGAAGTTTGTTGAGGATTTCTGTGAAGCTGCTGCGAAGTCATCAGGGCCAACAGAGGACACATTTTGTGTTCAAGTGCTCGCTTTCAGTAGCTGTGAGAAGTTTGTTGAGGATTTCTGTGCAGCTGCTGGGAAGTCATCTGAGCCAACAGAGGACACATCTTGTGTTGAAGTGCTCGCTTTCAGTAGCTGTGAGAAGTTTGTAATTGCACTGCGAGGTTTCAGCTGGGCATCTTAGTCGCTCGTGTGACAAGGAGCCTGGGCATGGTTTACAACGTAGTTTACCGCAATTCCTGTATGATTGTGGGAGGATCGGGAGCCACTCGTGAAGAAGCCGCCCAATCTCCAACGAACTGTTGCATCCTTGGACCTGCACCTTGCCCGGGGATCCTCCTCAGAGGATACCGATCTCGTCAAGGCTCAGCAGAAGATGTGCCTTGACTCCACACACATGTTTGTGTACATTTGTAGAATGTGCCACAATGCCGTCAAGTTTGAGTGTACATGTACTATGCGACACGGTGAGGAAGTGGGCTATGCAAGAACAGGAATTGCCTGAAGATGCTACTGTCCAGCCTGGCCGGGGCCGTGGCCGGGGAAGGGGCCGGGGACGGGGAAGGGGCAAAAGCCAGCAGTGTTCACGAGATGCCACGAAGGGTTCAGATCCGGTTGTGCAGAAGAAGGAATGCAGTGGCACGCAGCAGGATGATCCGCAGGTGGGTGCTGCAGATCCGCAGGAGCAAGCGGAGCTCAAGACTTCCCCTGTGAAGAAGAAGCCTCGCTCCAAGAGCAACAAGGGTTCAGGAAAAGGCAAGCAGGATCCAGATCAACCTGAGCAGTCGCAGGAAAGCAGTGCGAACAAGCATGCAGCAGCGGTTGATGCAAATCCAGAGCAGCAGGAGACGGAGCTCAGGACTTCCCCCGTTAAGAAGAAGCCTCGCTCCAAGACCAACAAGGGTTCAGGAAAAGGCAAGCAGGATCCAGATCAAGCTGAGCAGTCGCAGGAAAGCATGCATGCAGCAGCGGTTGATGCAAATCCAGAGCAGCAGGAGACGGAGCTCAGGACTTCCCCTGTTAAGAAGAAGCCTCGCTCCAAGCGCAATTGCAAGGGTTCAGGAAAAGGCGAGCAGGAGCCAGACGCAGCTGAGCAGAAGGCACGCAAGGATGATGCAGTACAGGTTGCTGCGAATCCACAGCAGCAAGAGACGGAGCTGAGGACTTCCCCCGTGAAGAAGAAGCCTCGTTGCAAGGGCCAGCAGTCGCAGGAGAGGCAGGCAACCCAGGAAGTGTCCGGAGCCAGCGAGGCTCCTGAAGGACCTATGGCAGCCGAAGAGGGGAATCCTAGCAAAGGCAAGCGCAGGCCTCGGGTTTCCAAGGGCTCACAGGCTGCACCAGGTGTGGCCACAGAGAAGCCGGCTGAGAAGAAGCTTCGGAATGCAAAGGATGATCAAGGATTGGCCAGTCGCTTGCGATGGTTTGGGGACAGTGCGATAGAGATTTCATGATTGCTTGGCCCAGTGCTTCCCCATTAATGGCCGAGTAGGGATTCTGGAAAAGTGCTGCTGCCAAACCCAGATTTGCTGCACCAGCTGTTAGATCCCTAATCCCTTCCCCCTAATATTAAAGGGTCGGGGCCCCCCCCCCCCTTCGCCCTAAATAAAAACTCGAGAATGTTTTTATAATTAGGGGACCCTTGTTATCTCAACTGCCAGAAACACAGGTTCTACAAGTAATTAAATGATGAAAATGATGACGATGAAAATGATGATGACGATTACGGTGATGCTTGTTATGATGAAGATGGCGGTAGTGGTGGTGATGGTAATGATGACGATGATCATGGTCCAGGAGAAGAACATGATGATGATGAAGAACATGATGATGATGTTGTTGTTGATGATAGCAATGCTTCATGGTTGCACAAGTGCAGAAGAGCACATGTGGTGAATGCCAGAAGCTTGGAAATAAAATGATAATTAATTAAATAATTATGATAGGAACTAATTAATTAATGATGTTCCAAGCTTCTGGCATTCGCTGCAAGTGCTTTGCTTCTGAGAGTTCTGTCAGCAATCTGCCCGCTCCGCCACAGACAGGCAGCCTCAAGAAGAGGCCTTTGTGCCTTGGGAACAACAGGCTGTCGACACTCACACACACACACACACACACACACACACTCACACACACACTCACACTCACACTCAAGCACAGACAGACCCACCGGAGCACTCAAACACAGACACTCACGCACACTCACCTCGGAGGCAGACAGGAGTGTGAGGGCTTCGCCGCCATGGGCGGTGTGTGAGTCCTTCGCCTCGCCATGGGCGGCGAGGAACCCGAGAAGGCGGGATCTTTTCTAATCTCCCGTCTTAGTAATCCTTCAAACATAAAAATGACAGGCCGTGGAATCGAGCCCCGGCACTATCCATTGAGGGTGTAGCACTACCTCCTCGGCTATCCTGTAGCATGTCAAGGTAGTTCAATTCTAACCCTTAGGAGATGATCACGACCACGATTCGCGGGTGCCATTGCAGTAATTACTGACGGCAAAATCAAATTTTGGTGCAGTGGTTAAGGATTTGCCCCGATGCCCAGAAATTCTGGGAATTGCCATGTGTAAGGTCGGCCGCTGAAAACCTAGCCGGCAGGGTTTTCATGGTCTAGTGGTTAACGTCGTGCCTGCCAGGAGCTGGAAGGCTGCCCGACAGATCCTGGGCAGCATGGACGAGCGACAAGGGCATCTTCGGAAACAGGGTGGATTGTGCTTTGGAGTAATTATTGGAGGTGCTTTCCGAAGGATGCTGCATGGACTGTAGAATCATACACTGAAACAAAGGACCCCATGGTCTAATGGATAAGGCGCTCTGTGGGTAACCCACGGAAAGATGGGTGGTTCGAGTCCCCCTGGGGTTGTTCTCATGCCAAGTCGCAGTACAAGCTTAATTAGTACTGGAACCGCATCGTTCCCAACCCTGTGCGGCAGGGTCCCGGTAGCGTAGTGGTTAGTACATCCTCCCTTGACCCTACCAAGCAGGGAGTCCCCAGCGGGCCACTAAGAGGCCAACGCGGCCGGGCCATTTCTGACCATTGGAGGTGTTAGCCGCTGCTCTTTGTATTTTGTTGTAGGCTAAAGTTCAGGGCTGTAGGCAACCCTAAGCCCTTGCTTGGAAGCTTGTCCTGGCTGACTGGAAGCTGCCTTGAAGTGGACTCTGTTCTGAAGAAGCTGCCCATGGAGAACGACCTGATGTGGCGGCCACTCATCTGTGCAAGAGCAAAAAGCACTCACAGAGCCGGATCCGGCAGACCATGTGGACACTGGCAAATAATCCACAAGTGACAGGGAGACTGGCGACAACTGCAACTCACCGAGAACTCCCCTCGGGCTGCGTCTTTTTTGGGTGGTTTTGGCTGAAACTTGCTGAGTCTACTGGCTGATGCCTGCTGATGCTGGATGAACTGGCTGGCTGCGACTTGCTCATATTCTCAGTACTGGAAGTGTCTCCTGTCCGATGCTGGCTGGATGGTGCTCAATTGTAGTACAAGCTTAATTAGTACTGGAAGAGCCTCGTCTCGGATGCTGTCGGGATGATGTCGGTGCTAGAAGTGTCTCCTGTCCGATGCTGGCTGGATGGTGCTCAATTGTAGTACAAGCTTAGTACTGGAAGAGCCTCGTCTCGGATGCTGTCGGGATGATGTCGGTGCTAGAAGTGTCTCCTGTCCGATGCTGGCTGGATGGTGCTCAATTGTAGTACAAGCTTAGTACTGGAAGAGCCTCGTCTCGGATGCTGTCGGGATGATGTCGGTGCTAGAAGTGTCTCCTGTCCGATGCTGGCTGGATGGTACTCAATTGTAGTACAAGCTTAGTACTGGATGTGCATGCTGTTTGGATGGTGCTGGCATGTTTCTTCTGATTGTTTCTTTTTATCCCAAACGTGCAGGCCAAGCTGCGAGCCGCTTTGGAGAATGCTTTGGCCGAGCTAGACAAGGCGCAGGGGTGCTGATGAATGAATTGACCGAATTGCTCTAAACATCAGGACGACGAGAGGGAAGCCAAAAGAAGGAAGACAGCCAAGACAGTAGAGGTAGTTGACTTGAGCAAGGAAGAACCACAGGCAGTGGTTTGCAGGCAGAGCAGCCAAGACAGCCTAGACAGCAGCCAGACAGCTAGAGGAGTCAAGAGGCAGGCCAGCTTCCACACACCTTCGCCGAAGAAGCGTCTGTTCAGTCCTGACAGCAAGGGTGGAGACAGCCAGAGCCCAGGCAGCCAGAGCCCGGGCAGCCAGAGCCCAGACAGCAACCCTGTGCAAAAGAGAAAGATAGAACAGCTCAAAAAGACCTTAGGCCAAGGCAGTCCAGTCTACTACAGGCTAGACTACCTTTGGGGCAAGGCAGCAGAGGCAGAGGCTAAGCCCGGCCTTTCGCCAGACACAGCTAGTGACAGACAGAAACAGCAGCAAGCTGAGAACATGCAAAACCTGCAGCAGAAAGCCAGCCAAGCAGTGGAAAAGCTCGGACTGGAGCCAGCTCTTGGAGTTCTTAAAAAGAGACGGGGAGGCAGACCGCTAGGCAGTAAGCAGAAGACGAAAGCGGTGCCGCATCTTCGCAAGAAGCGATGTGATGTGACAGCCAGAACCAAGCTTTCCATCATGGAAGAGTTAGACAGAGCAGCCGTAGATCACAAAAGCAAAAATGCAGCCAGGCAGCATGTCATGAGAAAGTATGGTGTGAGCAAGTCTTTTTGCTTCAACCTGCAAAAAGACTATCACAGACAGAAAGTCACTAACTTTCTCGCCAGCACGGGGCGAGGACACAGTGCCAGACAGACAGGCAGCCATTTGGGTCTCGTGCACCTCGTCAGCAAGTCAACAGGCAGGAGACTGCCTGACCCAGGCAAAGTGCTGGGTAGGCCAGACTTTCTCCAGCCAGTCTGGTCTGAGACCCGTGCTTGGGCCTTGAATGAGGAAGCCAGCCAGCACGTCCTGACGAACATAGACCTGCTGATGGACTTCGAAGAAAGGCTCGACAAAGCCATTGCAGTCAGGCAGGCAGAACAGGAAAAGGGTCTTCTTGACCAGACAGGTGAGAAGGAGCTGGCAGCCATGGTGCAAAAGAAAGCCTCGCTAGCCAACAAGCCAAAGCAGAGGAGCAAGTACCAGGTCCAGCTCCTCGCAAAGTGCGGTCTTCGAAACAGATCCTGCCAACAGACAGCCAACCTGAGCAAGGAGGATGAGAAAGCCAGGCTAGACTTGTCCTGGCGACTTTGGGACTTGCTTTTGGAACAGGCAGCCAGTCCCACGCCACAGCCGGACTTGCCTGTAGCAAGCCCAGAGCAGTGGACGATAAAGCGAGCAGAGACAGCCATCACCATGTCAGATCAAGTACCTGCTTGGCTCAAGCCAACGCCAGGGAAGGCGTTGACATCGGTGGTGCGCTTGAAGCTAGCCAGCGAGCAAAGCAAGGCCAGGCGAGAGAACAGGAAAGCCAGACAAACACAGCCAAAGGCCAAACCTGAGGCCAAAGCCAAGGCCGCACCTTGGCGGTTTTGTTGGGTGGATTCGAAGTGGACTTTCGGGTTTAGGGTTTCCTTAAACCCGAAACCCAAAAGCCAAAGCTTAAACCTTCATGCACCTTCATGCTTTCGAAACCAACCGAGGCACCGAGGCTGGCATGTGCTTCTCGAGCCCCAGGTGTGGCAGCAAGGTGGCGAATCAGCTTGGTAGCTAGACAGGCAGTGCAGAACTTCTTTGCGCCAGACAGACAGCCAGTGGGTGTCGTTATGCCCACGATACTTGTCACATACGGCAAACACTGCAGACTTGAAAACATCAGCCAGGAAGGCACGTGGATCAAGTCCGAATGCTTCCAGGTAGGCAGCAAGACAGTCAGGAGAAGGGCAGGCCAGCGAGTGCCAGGACAGGTCATGCGCACTTGGCGCAAACTGCGACAGACACAGCCACACCTGTTTGATGGCAGTGTCAGGGTGTGGTGCCAGCCAGCCGCAGTGGTAGATAGCGTGATTTACAGATGGCAGCTAGAGCTCGAGTCAGAAGAGCACAGCCAGGCAGTGCAGCTCGTCGATATGTTCGGCGGAGCATGGACGACGGAGTCCATGCACGCCGCTGCACTCCTGCAGCGAGCTCAGACAGGCATTGCAGCCGGGTGCACCGGCTTGACCCAGGTGACAGACATCGGGTTCGCCCAGCCAGCCAAGGCAGCTCTCAAAAGGTGGCAGGAAGACTTGAAGCAGCGCATGCGAGAGAAAGCCAGACAGCAGAAGGTGCAGTGCACCTATAAGACAGGCCCGGCAGACATTCTGGAGGCAGCTAGACAGATGCACGCCAGGATGGTGCAGTTGAATGAGACAGAGAAGACAGTCCTTCGCTGCATGCGGCAGGGAGGCTGGTTCCACTTCCGTCCAGACAGTGAAGGCAGGCTTCAGGACTGTGGCAGCCAGAAATGGTGTCTGGACTTCCCTGAAGGCAATGCCAAGCTAGGCAGCGACCACCTCAGAGACAGGTCTCGTTGGGTGGACAAGACAGGCAAGGTGCTTCCGTGGACAGAGGCAGACAGCAAGACATTTGATGAATCCAATGCATTCGAACCCGAGGCTACGTACCTGCTTGGCCAGACAGACATACACTTGAGCTTCCGAGCGAAGCCCAATCTCCTTGCTCAGTCAGAAAGAGAGCTCAGAGAGGTCATTCTGAGACAGGTCCACCCGAACGAGAGGAGACGGCTTTTCCAGGAACAGGTGGACCAGACAACCAGCCAGACAAAGACAGAGAAGCAGCAGAGAAAGGAAAAAAGGATCAAGAACGCGAAGCAAGACAGAAAAAGGCGCAAACTTTTGAAAGAATGGAGACAGCAGCAAGCCAGCAAGACAAAGAAGCAGGCTCTGCTGTCTGTCGTGCCCAAAGTGGGCCAAAAAAAGGCCAAGAAGAAGGCAGGCGACAAGAAGCCCAGCCAGGTGAAGAAGCAGCAGAAGAAAGACCAGGCGAAGAAGGCTCAAAGACGGGCAGCCGAGCCAGGCAGCGAGGGACACTTGCATGGCAAGCAAGCTCGAGTGATCGGTGACCTGGCTCCGCAGACGCTGCTGGGCAAGATCGTGGTGTGTGGAAAGCAGACAGACAGCCAAGTCCTGATCAATGCTGATGGACTTCATGAATGGGTCAGCCACACAGACATTACGCTGGACGTCAGAGACAGACAGTTTCCGCTGGTTTTGGATTTTGAGTCTTTCCCCAGTGCTGCAGCCAGTGAGGAAGCGGCAGCCAGTGCAAAAGATTTGCGGCTTTACAAGCACGAAGAGCTGCTGACAGACAGCCAGCTCGAAGCTGGCATCAGGGAGATGTCATACCGATTCTCCCATGGAGCAGAGCCAGCCAGCCTGTGTGTTTTACGGCCAGCAGAGGCCAAGCAACTTATCCAGACACATGCACTCAAGGCAGCAGCAAAGACAGCCATGGACAGCCAGGCTGGTTTGGTCTTGGCAGTCGTGCAAAGCCAGCCTCCGAGACACTGGTCCTTGCTGGTGGTCGAGACAGTCAGAGACAGCCCCGAAGCGAAGGTCAGGTACTATGACACGTTGCCCGGTGAGGCAGCCTATAAGGAAGCCAGTGCAGTTTTGAAGGTGCTGCTGCAGACAGCCAAGAAACAGGCCCAGCCTTTGCCTGCGCCAGTCAGTCTGCTCAGACAGACAGACGGCTTCTCCTGCGGCCTCTGGGTCTTGCTGTATATGGAGCAGGAGTGGCGGCGGTGGATGGGTGAGGCCCCGCAGCCACTTTTGAAAGACCTGCCAGCCAGAAGCAGCCAGCTGAACCGCTGGATTCAGCTGCTGCTGCGAGGCAAAGAGCTAGCCAGACAGAAAGAGAGTCAGCAGCAAGACAGCCAGACAGCAGGAGACACCATCGCTTTTGGCTGTGCCCACTGCAGTTTTGCTCTGAGTGGCTGCCTTCGCTGCAACAGAACGCAGTTTTTGAAGTATATGAGTAGCCAGGCACACAAACAGGCAGAGGAGGCAGCAAAGGCATCCAAGGCCAAGGCCACGACCAAGGCCAAAGCAAAGGCGAAGGCTCTTGGAAAGCCAGGCAGCTCAGGAGCCATATCGTGCACAACTATTTAAATAATGAATTACATCTCGAGTTTGAAATATAATTAATTAATTAATTAATTAATTACAGTAATTACTTCATCGTACTGGATGTGCCTTGCTTCGCATGCTGGCTGGATTGTGCCAAATCGTAGTACAAGCTTAGTACTGGATGTGCCTCGCTTCGCATGCTGGCTGGATTGTGCCAAATCGTAGTACATGGATGTGCCTCGCAGAATTGACTAGAAGTGCGGTAACTGGCAGTAGTGCAGCAACTGGCAGCAATGTGGTAATTGGCAGTTGTGCAGTAATTACTCGGCAGCAGTGCAGCAATGACCAGTAATTAATTAGTGCAGTACTTGGCAGTAATTAATTAGTGCAGTACTTGGCAGCAGTGCAGCAATGACCAGTAATTAGTGCAGTATTGGCAGTAGTGCAGTACTCGGCAGCAGTACAGTGATGATCCGTGGTGCAGTATTCTGCAGCAAACTGGCAGTACTCATCAACGCAGAGTGCCCAGAGCTTTCAAAGTCTCGGTGCCCAAAGGTTTTGGTCACACAAAGTCTCGATTCCAGGCGGGGAAGGGCCCAAATGACGCCCCCGGGGATTGAACCAGGAACCATCTCCGCAGCGATGTCGTGAGCTCTCCGCCCACCCGTTAGGCTATGAAAGGATAGGAGCGGAGGTGGCGATGACCCCATGTGCAGTCACGGAGAGATCACAAATAGTCGCAGCCCGGTGGGGTCTCCGGTGAGTGTTCCGAGTCGCCACCCCCTTTTGCTGAGCCTCCCAGTGCCGACTGTAGTGAGGCTTGCCCTGTGGCTTCGGGTTTCTGAGCTTGATGTGAAGCTTCTTGTGCTGGCCGGTCACCTTGCTGTGCAGTTCAATCTCCGCTGCTGTGTACACCAGCTCCAGCTCCAAGCCCATGCTGAGCAATCGATGCCAATCTTCCAGCTGCAGCTCCAGAGGGTTCTACAGAGGGAGGGGTTTAGCCCTGAACTTTAGCCTACACCAAAAAACAGGAGCAGTTGCTAGCACCTCCAATGGTGGCCGCTGGACCCAGTGAGTCAAAATCAATTTTGGCTCAGTGGTTAAGGATTGGGCTTTGTTGCCCGAGCCAGAGATCAGAAGAATTACCTTTACGGGTAGATCAGCGCAAACCGCAGGGAAGTAGGGTTTTGATGGTCTTGTGGTTAAGACTGGCGGGGCCTACTTGCCTTGTTTCGCATGCTGGCTGGATTGTGCCAAATCGTAGTACAAGCTTAGTACTGGATCTTCCTCGTTTCGCCAGCAGGCTGGATTGTGGTTGATCGTAGTACAAGCTTAGTACTGGAAATGCATCGAATCGCATGCTGGGCAGGATGGTGCTGGATTGTAGTACGAGCTTAATTCATTCATTGATTCATCAATTACTCAGACATAATCAGTATCGTCCTTCATGCACCAGATAATTAGTTAGTTTGAGTTTAATTAATTAATCAATTAGTTCTACTTCATTAATTATCTGGATTTCAACATCTCTTATAACTTCCACGGACCGCTCGCACCAGCCGGGAAGGAAAGCTGACTTGAAAGGAAGTCCCGCAGGCAGGACTTCATTTCGGACGCTTGCACAGACAACCAGATCAATCAATTCAGTAAGTTTAATTACCATCCGAGATCCGTCACTTTCCATTCTCAGTCTCCTTTTCCAACGAAACATGCAGGCCGGGTTTGCCGGAAGACAGCCAGCCGAGACGCCTGACAGCCGCTGCAGGCCGACTGTCTTCGATTGTGCAGACACCAGACGGCTTGTTCAGTGATATTAATTATCAAAGATAGACAAGAACGACTTTCAGTCAGAGTTTGTTTCCTGCCGAAAAAAAGCATGCAGGCCGTCCTTTCCTGGGCAGACAGCAAGCCGCCTGACAGACGGTGCAGGCCGAATCCATTGCTGTGTTCGTTTCAGCAGGCAGCCTGTTCAGTCATGCAGGGAGTGCTTTCATTTGCCATTCGACCTGCAAAGCAAGCTGCTCCAATCCAGGCAGCGAGCCTGGAACAGTAAGTAGCAGCACAGGACTTACTTTCAGAACACAGCTAGATGAGAGGCACAGACACACACTGGGCAGCGAGCCTGGAACAGAAAGAACAACACAGGATTTACTTTCAGAACACGGCTAGTTAGCTGAGAAACACACACACACACACACACTGACAAGTGGGAGACAGACAAAGGTAGCCAGACAGACAGACAGACAGCCATGGCCTTGCAAGCCCTGGAGTACTTCTGCAAGTTCTCCGACAGCGAGATCCAGACAGCTGGACGCCAGGTAGACAGTGAGAAAGTCCGACGACTGTGTCACAGCTTGGTGGACTGCCTGGCCCAGCGAGTGACACAGACGGACTCAGGGCAGACAGCCGCAGCATCTGCCGCACCTGCAGACAGCCAAGCCAGCCAAGCTGCCCCTCCTCGGAAAAGGAGTGTGAGCAACAAGAGGGGCAAGATCGAGCCTTACAAGACAGACAGCGGTGCCGCTGATGGTGGCCAGCAGGCAGGCCAGGCAGGAAGAGACAAGAGCAGGCCGCCGAACAAGAACAAGCTGCCGAAAGACAGTCAGGCAGACCAGGTAGCGCCACCGCCAGCTCCGCCAGCTCCGCCACAGACGAGCCAGTGGTCTGGGTGGTACAGCCAGAGTCAGAGCAGCCAGTCAGACTGGTGGTCGACCAAACCTTGGTGGGAGTGGGAGCGGGAGACAGAAAGCCAGACAGACAGCCCACCAATCCCGTCGACGGGACTAATTGTGGCGAAAGGCAGACAGATCGGAGGCAGGGGCCGGTACAGCCATGCGCAGAGGACGCACTTCTGCATTGTCCAATGCCTGAAATGCAAGGCCGAGCCTTGCAACAAGAGGATGGAGGCAGAGGTCGACGGCCACTGGCCGCACTTCTGCCGTGCCTGCAAGCCCCACGGGGCGCCTGACCCTAAGTGGTAGGGCAGGCAGGCAGGCAGGCAGTGGCCGTCGACCTCTGCCTCCATCCTCTTGTCAGCCAGACAGCAAGGCAGTGGCCGGACAGCTAGACAGACAAGGCAGTGGCCGGACAGCTAGACAGCCAGACAGAGACACACCCTTGCAGGCAAGAAAAAAAATCGCCTTCAGAGTGGGAATCGCTGACTCATCAATCAAGCAGATAGAAGCAGATAGTGATTGTGCCTGTTGGCCAGGCGCCCGCGACCTGCCGCCAGACAGCCGTGTCAGCAGTGTACGGGCCAACAAATAAGCTGTGGCTTCACTTGCTAATTAAGAGTGCTTTGCGAGCAGAGTAATTATTCGGTGGAAACCGTTCCGAACAAAACCTGCCTTAGCCTAAACGGCCCTAAACTCTGTGGGCTCTTCTATTCATGGATGTGCAGCCAAACCTAAACCTTTTGTGGTCAGAGAGAGGGGATTTGCAGTTTGCAGCGAGTCCGTGCCCCGTTTTTCAGAGAGGCAGGCAGTGCTGATTGCTCGCATTGCTCACGTTGTGGAAGCTCGCAGCCAGCAAGCAGCACACGTTGTGGAAGCTCGCAGCCAGCAAGCAGCAGACCGGAAAGCCCCTGTGAAGAAGACAGCCAGACCAGCAGGCCGGGCGACTCAAGAAAGCCTTCAAAATTCTTTCACAAAGATGAATGCTGGCAGGCAGTCAGCATGGCCAGCGAGGAAGCAGCAGCAGCCACAGCCAGACAGGCTGATTCGAAACCTTCCTCCTCAACCTAAATCCTAAACCATAATTAATTAATTAATTAATTACAAGGGTTTGGGGTTGTAAAAGGGTTGCTTGAGAGGTTGGAAGGTGATTTCGGGCTCCGAGGCAGCCAGGCAGTGAGTGTGCAAGGCTTCAGGGAGTTCAGGGCTTCTTCGGAGGTTGGAAGGTGGGGTGGGGCTCAGAGGCAGCGAGGCAGTGAGTGTGCAAGGTTTCAGGGAGTTCAGGGTGTAATTAATTAATTACTTAGTAATTAATTAATCAGTAGTAGTAGTAGTAGTAGTAGTAGTAGTAGTAGTAGTAGTAGTAGTAGTAGTAGTAGTAGTAGTAGTAGTAGTAGTAGTAGTAGTAATTGGTAGTCGTCGTCGTAGTAGTAGTAATTAGTCGTAGTAATTAGTCGTAGTAGTAGTAATTAATTAGTGGTAATAGAACTGGATATGCATCGTTTCGCATGCTGGCTGGATTGTGCAGTAGTGCAGTAATGACCAGTAATGCAGTAATTGGCAGAAGTGCAGCAAGTCATGCAGTTGGGCGCAGGGCCATCGGCGATCAACCGTTCCTCCACAACACCTCCACAACACCTCCACAACACCTCCACAACATCTCCACAACACCTCCACAACATTTCCACAACACTTCCACAACACTTCCACAACACCTCCACAACACCTCCACAACACCTCCACAACACCTCCACAACACCTCCACAACACCTCCACAACACTTCCACCATACATCCACAACACTTCCACAACACTCCCACAACACCCACACAACACCTCCACAACACTTGCACAATAAGTACATCCACAACACTCCCACAACACCCCCACAACACCTCCACTCCAACACCTCCACAACACTTCCACAACACTCCACAACACTTCCACAACACCTCCACAAGACCTCCACAACACCTCCACAACACCTCCACTCCACAACACCTCCACAACACCTCCACTCCACAACACCTCCACAACACTTCCACAACACCTCCACAACACCTCCACAACACCTCCACAACACCTCCACAACACCTCCACAACACTTCCACAACATGTCCACAACACTTCCACAACACCTCCACAACACCTCCACAACACCTCCACAACACCTCCACAACACCTCCACAACACCTCCACAACATACATCCACAACACTCCCACAACACTCCCACAACACCCACACAACACCTCCAGAACACCTCCACTCCAACACCTCCACAACACTTCCACAACACTCCACAACACTTCCACAACACCTCCACAACACCTCCACAACACCTCCACAACACCTCCACTCCACAACACCTC